TGGTCATTCTTGGTGTCTATTCCTGCTCAGAGATGACAGTACCCCTGGGGCCCCAAACTTAAGTAATGACTCCTACTGGCTAAGGGATCAGTTATGTGTGTTTCCTTGGGGCCTTCTTTAGACAGTTTAGGATGGGCTTAGAGATATCTCCAAGCAGCGTATCTTACTCTCACTATTCCAGGAAGGCCTTATTTACTCCTATTGACAAGTTCCAGAATTCCCGGTGGTAGGCCTGTCTGAGCTGTTGCCTTCTACAAGAAATTTGGGTGCTCAATTGAAATGGATCTTTGCCCTGTGCTTGTCTGACCCATAGTCTTGGGCAAGCATGTAGCTGCTGGCTTGGCCAGGCTTGCCAATAGGTCTGCTATCCCATAGAGCTGTGTCCAGTGGTGGGCAATGGAATTGGTCACAGTGACACATCAGTGGAGGTCTTCTTGATCATCCTCCTGGCAAGTGTGCTGTTACAATGCTGTCTGCCTTTAGGCATACGAGCCCTTCTGCTAGTGTTTCAGTACAGACCCTGGTAGACTCCAGAATACCCAGGCACCTCAGGGCTCCCTTGTCTAGCCATACGCAGTTAATGGGGAAAAACTCTGGAGAGAAATGTGGGTGTGTCCATACTGCAAGTGAAGCAGCCCTTGAGGTCCCCAATTCAATGTGCCACCACCCCAGCCTGTTACTGATAGCTTGGGGTAGGTACTGTCACAACCACTGATAGTGGCACATCTCACGAAGCCCAGAGAGGAGAGTCTGCAGGTTGCCAGCTTCCTCCTGGGCCATGTCAGGCAGAGTGGCTTGACAGAGATACTGATTAGTCTTTGGCCTAAGTGGGGTTGGGAGGTCCCACTGAGTCTTAGAATCTGGAGTATTCTCACTGGAATGCAGGACTGGCATGGACAAGTTTACTGAGCCTCAAAAGGGCAGGACCAAACTCTACCCCAAGAGCCCCCTCTTGCTGGGGGCATGGAGTCCACAGACACTGCTCTTTGAGTGGAAGGCCCACAGTCCCACTGCCTAATTTTCAAGTTTTTCTTTCTCATGTTTTGAGCCAAGGACCAAGTCTGGAGTAGACAACGTTGATGGTTTTGTGCTGTTTTGAATGGTCCTCAGGGTCCCAGGAAGCTTCTGTGTGTCCTCTGCTGAGGGGGACAGCAGAGGCAGGAACAGTGTGGGAGGGAACATAAGCTTCTCTCACTCCAAAGGGGCCATTCTCACCGCTGCTGGGACAGGGGCATCACCAGCGGTGTCCCCACACAACCAGGGATGCCTAGTGAAGGTTGAGTTACATACCTGCTTAGTTTTAGGGATTCTGGGGGAGTGAATCTTTTCTACAGAAATGAAACCACAAGGCACTGTGGCTGTCTGTAGAAGGGTGTTTATTGTTTGCCAGATAAGAACAATCTGAAGTTCTATCAACAAGGAAATTGTTAAGTCAGTCACAGCGTATCTGTACTGTGGAATATTTCACAGTCATTTAGAAGGACATGTTAACTAGTTAGACATTGATCCAGAGAGTTTAATGCCATTCTATTAAGTCAGGAAGGCAAATGGCAGAGAAGCAAATATTATACATGTGGTTGCAGTATTTTAAAGGTTGGAATGAAGCAAAGTAAAAATCCTTGTTTTTTATATTTAAACACAGTAAAGGGGTACAGGTCTCAAACTAGGGTAGAAGGAGGAGGTGGGGCTGGAGAAACAAGAAAACAAAAGCCATTAAAAAATGTACAGAAAACAATAAACGAGGTTAAGTAAAACTTTAAGGTATCATCGCCCTGGAATTAGGGTGGCAAATTTTTACATTTGCATTTGCAAATGAGTAAAGGACTGGCGAGTCTGGAGAAGGGAAAACAGCATTGATGTAATTGGATGTGAAAGTGCAGCCTCCTTTCCCTCTGCTCCAGTTTTCGAGCAGTTCAAAAAGACACACACACAGACAGACAGACAGACAGACAGACACACACACACAGACACACAGACATACACACAGACACACACAGACATACACACAGACACACAGACACACAGACACACACACAGACACACAGACACACAGACACACACACAGACACACAGACACACAGACACACACACAGACACACAGACACACAGACACACACACAGACACACAGACACACAGACACACACACAGACACACAGACACACACACACACACACACAGAGACATACACACATACACACACACACACAGACACACATACACACACACACAGAGACACACAGACATACACACACTCACATACACACATACACACACAGACAGACACACAGACATACACACACTCACATACACACATACACACACACATCCTGAATTTCCTTTGCTTATAGGCCAAGTCCAATTCAGTGTATCTGTTGTTTTCTTCTTATTCAACTCTTGTTAAAGATATGTCATTGTTAGATGCATTAGTAGTGGCAGAAAGTGAAACTAGAGTGAAAACAGTTAAGGAACTGTACTCTCAATTGTCTATAGCAGGCACTTGTAAGACATACACACAGACACACACAGACACACACACTCACATACACACACACAGACACACAGACATAGTTGGAAGGATCACAAAAATAGGAAATTTCTATTACTGTGAGTACCTAGGTGTATTAGGAATCTGGAAAGATTCTAGACTTCTGAGTGTAGAACAACCTGGTTTATGCTAAAGCCACTAGATAGAAAGTGAAGAACACCAAGATTGTCTTCAATCAATCTTGATGGCAGAGCCAGTATTGGGAGTTCTTTCTAGACTAGCTCTTAATCACATCTGCATTTCCAACAACTTCAGAAGGTCTGACAATGGCAGGCTTTCGATGATTCTTGAAAAATCCTAGAAACACAACTAATTTAATTGATAAGCCTAGGTACAAATTATGATATAGTAAAAGATAATACAATACAATAGAAGTAGATATTTAGAGGATTGCAAAGCCTATAATTGAAAATTTGGCAATGAAAATAGACAAAATTAAGAAGCAAACTGAAAAAGAAAACATTTTTCTCTGTGTATTTTTCATAGACTGGAAAAAGAAAAATGAACATCACACAGACACACATACACACACAGACATACACACATACACACACACACACACACACACACAGACATACACACATACACACACACACACACAAAGACACACACACTCAGACACACACACATACAGACACAGACATACACACACAGACACACACACACACAGACACACATACACACACAGACATACACACATACACACACACACACACACACACACACACACACAGACACACACACACAGACACACACACACAAAGACACACACTGAGACACACACACACAGACACACACACACAAAGACACACACACTCAGACACACACACACAGACACACATACACACACAGACATACACACACAGACCCACACACAGACACACACACACAAACACACACACAGACACACATACACACACAGACATACACACACAGACCCACACACAGACACACACACACAAACACACACACAGACACACATACACACACAGACATACACACACAGACCCACACACAGACACACACACACAAACACACACACAGACACACATACACACACAGACATACACACACAGACCCACACACAGACACACACACACAAACACACACACAGACACACATACACACACAGACATACACACACAGACCCACACACAGACACACACACACAAACACACACACAGACACACATACACACACAGACACACACACACAGACATACACACACAAAAACATACAGATTCACACACACACACACATTGACACACACAGACATACACACAGACACACACAGACACACACACAGACACACACAGACACACAGACACACACAGACACACACACAGACACACACAGACACACAGACACATACACAGATACACACACAGATACACACACACACAGACACACACAGAGACAGACACACACACACACACACACACACACACATTAACTTGGTAACACGTGGGATAAGAAAACAATGGCTGGTGAAACTGTGCATGTTGTCAAGTCAACCCTAGAGTAAATCTAGAAGGGCGTTAAGGGGCTCTGTTCTTAATGGGAAACCACTAAACTCTTGGCCAAGCCAAAGCCAAAGCCAAAGCCAGACTTGAATATCCTCATTCTGATTTGTAAGAGCAAGGACGGTTCAGCTAAAAAAACAATAATAGGCAAAATTTGCAGTCAAATCACCATGAACATCCGTGTGCTGTCACAGTTAAGTCCGCTGGGTGTGACAACCAACCCTATGAGAGAACACAGTAACCATGAGCATGGACTGTGTCTACTGTAAGCATTTTCTCATCAGAATGAGGCTGGTTGCCAACAGCAGCTTTGTGCGCCCACCCTGCTGATTAAGCCTTGAGCCAGGAGCTGAAACACCAACACCACCATCTGAGAACCATCCTTTCTTTATTGCCTGATATTTAAAATGTCATGCAGGGAAGAAACTGTGTGTTCTGGGCTTCTCCTTGCTCTCTGGTTTAGGATTAGTAGACAGTGGGAGCCAAGGTGGCATGTTGTGCTGGCAGCAGAGTGCTGCAGTAGGCTGGTTTCTCTGCACTGTCTGACCAGCTGTGGAAGGTCCAGTGGAAGGCTGTGTGTCCTTGGGCTGCCCGCCTCATGTCCCTTACCATGTGAAGCCTCCCAGAGGCTTGTCCTTGAGAAGAACTGATAGCAGTGGGAATGAAGCACACGAGGTACTGTTATCAGCTCCATGTTCTGAAATGCTGCAGATGAACCCTTTGACAGTACACGTGTGCCCCCCCAGCCCCACCCCCGCAGATGCTGCTCCTTTTAAAAGATAATACATCCAGATAATGCCTAGCAACTCCTGGGGTCCCTGAAAGGGGAAGAGGGCCTGTGGAAGGATCTTAAAATGTTAGGTTTTTAAAAAGTTAAGTAATAGTCATATTTTAATACATATTTAAGTTCAGAAAGTGGTAGAACAGTATATCAGTTCTGGTGATGACAGATTCTTTATTGGTTTCTCAGAAAAAGCCAGTAATTTGGCTTTTTGGCCAGTAATTATATTTTTGGAGTATTAGTTGATTCACCGAGATTAACCCTTACCAAAGTGGGTACAAACAGCAGTAGTGATTGCAGAGAGCTTGGTACAAAGGGAACATATTTAAAGATGCTCACAGGATACCTAATAACACATGTACAGGACCAGGGAACATCTGGGCTTTGTAGCATGCCTATAATCCCAGCATTCAGGAGGCAGAGGCTAGAAGAATGTGAGTCTGAGGCCAACCAGGACTATATATAGAGATTCCATTCTAGAAAAACAGAACAAAGGATAAAAACAAAGATGCGAACGTCTCATTTACAAGGGGTTTCTTAACTTTGCAGATCATTGCAGGGACCAGTGTAGCAAACACCAGTCCTTGTGGAAGAGTATCTAGACACCACAAAGACATCCTGCCCTCAAGTTGCTCTCTGGGAAGTGAGTTGCAAACTTCCCTACAACGTGATTTCTGAACCTCTGTCTAGTGGAGTGTCTGTTTTAGTTTAACATTTTTGTAATATTTTAGTCTCACTGAAAGGTGTCAAGATGCATAGCCACTGCTCAGGGATACCCACTTTTTTCAGGGTTTGACTTCTGCTCCATACACAGGCCTGGGCTTGCACCTGTGAGTCCTGAAGTGATCCTGAGCAGCTCTGAGCTACACGGAGAAGGAAGCTTAAGGGGAGACAGACCAGGGGAATCCCAGCTCTGCTGCTTCCTGTCTGTACTGGAGGGTGACTTCAATGATGTAAACCTCAGTTTCCTGGCTACCTCTACTAGCTGGGGAATCAGGTGCAGTGCACAGCAGTTTCCGTGTTCTTTGGCCGGTCTATCACCTAGTGTAGCTGCAAAAGTGGGAACAAGACGGGTCCCACCGGGGTGGGGCATAGGGGCACTGAAAAACCTTATTAAACACATGCTGGGGAGGGGAGTACTTGGGAGGGACTTTTGAAGTGCCATGAATTGCCACACCTTGGTACCTTCAGGACACTGGGGGCTAGAGAGGAAGAACAGGGGTACCTTTGTCCACCTTTGCCCGCCGGCTCACTTCTGTTGCTTGTTGTTGCCTTGTTGTTGCTTATTTTACAATGAACCAAATGAAACCCAGCAGGCAGACCATTGCTGGCTGGTCCACAGTGACCTGCTGTGCAGCTCCCCCGTCCAGCCAGAATTCGCAGTACTTGGTGGAGCAGATCTCTTTGATCAGCCGCCAGAGGACTCGCTGGTGGAGCTTGCTATCCTGCTTCTCCCGGGAGAACTCAGCCTGGTTGGCCGCCTGGGTGGCGTTGATGCAGCTGGCCACCAGCATCTCCTTGGTCACATTGGCCTCTGAGCAGCCTTCGTAGTAGATCCCATCCGGGAACTGCCAGTAGTTGGCGGCGTAGTACTTGTTGCCCTCTGCTCCGAAGTCGATGTTCAGCTTTCGGCCTTGTTTGATGAAAGCTCCTGGGCGATTCTCAGCCACACGGGCTTCGGTGATTTGGCCGCTGCCGGGTAGGGCCTTCCGGTTCCACTTGAACCTGTGCTTTATGCCCCTCGCCTTGATTGTGGAAAGGTGGCTGGCAAGCAGCATACAGAGGATGGCCAGTCGCCATGTGCCCAGACGGTTCTTCATGGCGTGAGAATCTGCAAGGGAAACACTGGGTTGTTACCCTCCCACGGTCCTTGAACTCCCATCCCACCCTCCAAGAGGTGACAGATTTTAAAGGAAGCCTCAGCTCATAATGGTGTCTCTCTCACGCACAGTCCTAGGGCCAACTTCACTACCAGCTTTCTTTGTTTTGCCCGGGGAATACTCCACTTTGCTCTCTGCTGTTTGGGACAGATAGAAGCTGCAAGCAGCCATTAGAAAGCTGGTGAGCAGGCAGAGGAAAACAGATGCACAATGAAGGCAGCTTTCCCTTGTGTTGCCCAGGTCTTTCAGGTGAACACTCCCTGGGAGGTAAGAGTTGGAACCAAAGGGCCTGATCTAGGCTGTACTTTGGGTCTTCCTATCGCCCCAAGTCGGCACTGTTCCAGACACAGTCCGATTTTCACTCTAGGAAACTGGCTGCCGATTCTTAAGGGATCAGTGAGAGGAGAGGCCGTGCTGGGGGGGAAAGGGAGGATGGGCTTGCAGCCAGGAGTCCCGGGCTCCTACATCACCATCAAAATGTTGGTAGATTTCCCACTCTCACCTAGGGGTCCAATGTGTGCCCTCTGCTCATCCTAATAGATTTTAGCCACACACTTATCAAATGTCAGCTACTACATCAATCCTTTCTGTGATACGATCTCATTCTCACAAGGAAAAAGTACTTTTATTGGATTTTTATAAGAAGTTGTTCTGGGTTTCAGAGATATCAAGTAATTTGCCCTGAGCTGCACTGTAGTAGGTGGACAACTTGAATTCAACATTGATTCTGAGCGCACATACCATTAACTGTCCCACTGCCTGTGAGGAAGTCAGGGGTAGGTGCTGCTAATGTTTTGTGTTGCTGGGAGCATGATGGCTCCTAAGCCAACAGAAATCAGGGCCGTTGAAGGATTTCAAGAGACGTTAGAGCAGCGGTTCTCAACCCTCTGGGGTCACATATCATATACACTGCATATCATTTATTTACATTACATTTCATAACAGTAGCAACATTATAGTTATGAAGTCACAACAAAATCATTTTATGGTTGGGGGTCACCATAACTTGAGGGATTGTATTGAAGGGTCACAGCATTAGGAAGTTTAAGAACCACTGCATTAGAGGAAAGGGATGTTAGCAAGACTTGGGAGACTGCCAGGATTATCCCAGGGTCCCAAGAGCTGCTGATCTCAGGGACTTTCCCCCAATCTCATCATCACTAGTTGTATCAGCTGTGACATCTTGCTCCTGAAGCTAACTACTGTGGAAATCCACCCTGAAGTCCAACACCAGAGTGTCTCAGCACCAGGTCCCTCCTAGGCTGTGTTGACCAGGAACATAGAGAGATTCCTATAATAGTGGGTCAGGGCTGTCACCTAGATGAAGATTTACTGTGGGTCCCTGGAGTGCCATAGCAGCATGCCTCCACTGCTCTGTGCAGCATCGCTAGACAGGCTTGATGTTCCTGTTACAGCGTTTGACTCTGGGGTAACACTGGTGCTTATTTTACAAACAAACAAAAACAAAACAAAACAAGACCCAAGCCTATCCCAGCCTAAGAGCATCCAGTCACTTCTGGGGGATTCAGAAAGACCTCACTGCCCCATCCTCTGGGCACTGCCTGTCTCGGCCCTTGGGTGGGTAAAGGACCCAGCCCCTGGCACCTCCCACATCAGTCACAATGAACTCAAACCAACTTTCCCTCAAAGAGGTCCAAGAATGAAGTAAATATGCATTGGTCTCCCAAATAGGGGTCGTGCCCCCATGTTATCAGATCATATCATGGTAGGAGAAATCTTAAATCAGAGTAATATCATATCTACGAGTGAGTAAATATTTTTTACAAAATGAAAGCACAGATTTCTTGAGAAAGAACTTAGTGTTCACAGATAAGGGCTTAAAAGCAGAAACGATATTCCCGCCAGTTAGCCCTGAAGTAGCATTTGCCAATAGCATCGGAGCATAGGAATGCAGGGGTTAGGTGCCCATAACTTCCCTGCCTGGGACCCAGTGGCAGGAAGGGAAGTCACAAATCACTGCTTGGTCTGGGAAACCCCTGCTACATACCTCGGTTCTCTGCTACTGTGACCTCTGGAGCCTGGAGCCTGCACTTCTCCGGAACACTTTCCCCAGGCCACCACTCAGCTATATAGGCACTGTGGGGGGTGGGGGGACTCTCTACCGCCCTCCAAACAGGGCAGCCCTTCCCTCCGCGGCAGGACCAATCAAGGGCTCCTGGGTCACTCCTCCATCCTAGAAGCTTCTTGTTACTCTTCACTGATGAGACCACGTGAAGATCTTGAAGTTAAAAAAGACCTGAGAACAGTATTCAGAACTACAGCTTGGGTGGCTTTTATTGCCCGCAGGCATGTGGGCTTAAGGAAGCCTTGCTGGACACATCTGTTGTCCTGCCCCTTTAGACTAGCCTCCAGCGGCAAGGGGCCTCTTTCGGGCTGCCTCCAAGGGAAGGGGCAATTAAGAAGGACTGGCATTTGCTTGCCCCCAACGCCCTTTATCTGGAGCCCACAAAGGTGGAAGAGTTGCTAGGTTTCTCCTGGTTAGGTGGGAAAGCAGGACTGAGTGAGTGTAGAGACAAACTTGAGGACTTCGCAGAACTTTGGGTCGTTTGGGGTCCCTAGGGATACTTGAGGGTCAAGGTTAGTCCCAAGGCCAGTAGGTTACAGACTTGTGAGAACTGGGGAGGTTGAGCTAGATGGAGGAGAAACCAAGCATGCACAGATGATGGCACTGAAAGTGTATCCCCTCGAGGTCCTTCACTACCGCAGACGCTCAGGTATCGAGGAGGAGGAGGAGGGGCTGCACCCTATGGCGGGAGGCTCTCTGGTACGGCTGACTGTCCCAAGGCCTTAAACACTGGGACTTTCCGGCGTGTTCCTATTATGATCACTACGGAAAAGCAAAATTAAAAGTGAGTTCTGGAGGTGAGGATAGGTAAGGTTGCCTGTAAAACACAATGCAGTCTTCATTGTGATCCCACTGCTGTTCACTAAATCTCCAGTTCTCCGCTCCGCTGCAAACTAAATTGAGCTGCCTTTCCTGTAGTAGTCAGCAGATGGCGCCAGAAGAATGTACAAAGATTTTTAGCCTGCCGCCGAATTCATGTTGGATTAAGGATTTCCAGCTGCGCTCACCCTCCCTACCCCACCGCGACCCTTTGTTTGTTTGACTTTTAAAAATTGTTTTATTTCCTCTTTTAAAAAATGTTTTCATTTCTTTGTGGACTTACAAACTTTCTGTGCATGTGAACACACATGACGCGCTGCCCCAGTTGTAATTCTTGTGTAGATTATTTGCAAAATGCAGAGAAACAAAAACAAAAGACCGCTTCTAATATTTTACAACCCAATGACAATTATCACTGAGATTTTGTTTGTTATATGCATGCGTAAGGACATAATTAGAGTTTGCTGCAGAAGGACCCAGAATCTTCCAGTCTAGCAACTCTGTTCTATAGCCTCAGATGGGCCCAAGGCCACTAGCCTGGTGACAATGCAGTCTGGGGCTTCATCCCTCCATGTTGATCCTGTGTACTGTCCCGCATCTGCCCGCCCCTCTGCTCTCTATTCCTTTTCTGAGCAGGGCTTTGACCAAATATGGTAGGAGGCAATGTCCAAACTGAAGAGACTGCAGATTCCTCTTGATAGTGAACAAAGGGCTGTTCTCAAAGGCACCAAGAAGTGTGGAGGACAGAATATGCTGGAGAAGAAGGAGGAACTCTGGAAGCAGCCAATGAGATAGGACAAGTGTGAGCCAGCCATGGAGCCTGCACAGCCAGCCCTGCCTACAGATGGCCTTCCAGCCCTTCCAGCCCTAAAGGATGGGAATGACGTGAGCAAGAGGGAGGCTCCTCTGGGCAGAGAGACCAGGGCCAAGAGCATTGTCTCCTCACCCTGTCAGCGATGGGAAGGCCACCAGGGTCTAATGGACCACCCTTGGCATGTGGGTGTTCCGGGACCCTGGGGTTTATGGCACATATCTTGTGAATGTACAAATATCAGAAATTTAAGTGTGTTGAAAAGAAGTAATGGGGAAAGGGGGAAACTATATGCACCAATGGGTCTTTATTCAGTAAATTCTTCAATTTGATTAGATCTTGGATGAGTTAAGATGACTTAAAAGTAAATACAACCTCCAGTGTGAAATAAACTCTACTTCAAAAGGCTTCTGTTCGAGAAGATCATTCCTTGCATTTGAGCTAAGGAAGAGAATAGAATGGGTTAGTGGGGCCAGGAAGAGAGGGAGGGAAGGAAGGAGGGAGGGAGGGAGAGAGAGAGAGAGAGAGAGAGAGAGAGAGAGAGAGAGCTTAGCCTCCAAGATGAGGTGGGACTTTAAGAGACCATGAAGGAAGACTCCCCATGAATGAATTAGTGCCTTCGTAGAGAGGCTGAGAAACCCTTCATTGCTTCTGCCATGGGAAACAAGCAAAAGATGGCCGTCATGAAGCATGGAGCAGGCACTTACCTGCTGGCACCTTCACCTAGAACTTCCTTGTTGTGGTTAATTTTGGATTGTCAAATTGATGGGGTTGGTGAAGTTACCTCTAGGGTGTCTGTGACAATATTTCCAATACTGGTCAGATCCCCAGGGCTCTGACCTCTTGACAGAATTCAGCCTTTGGCGGACTCACAGAAGGTGGAATGATAAAAGGCAGGCTTGGTTGGAAGAAAAGTCCTGAATGGCTTCATCTTACATTGGCCACTTCCTGCTTGGCCCTCTTCTCTTTTCCTGTCTACAGTGAGGTGATGACTCTAGCACCAGAGAATGGAGCTGTGGTTTAGCAGGTTCCTCAAACTGAAGCTTCCCCTCCCAGGAAGAGAGAGGGAAGCTGGTTAAGACTTGGGAACTAAGCAGGGTTTGGTGGCACATGCCTTTAATCTCAGCCCTTGGAAGGCAGAGGCAGGTGGATCTCTGTGAGTTCTAGGCCAGTCTGGTCTACAAAGTGAGTTCTAGACAGCCAGAGTTATACAGAGGAAACCCTGTCCTGAAAAACAAACAAACAAACAAACAAACAAAAAACAAACAAACAAGCTCGGGAACTAAACAAAAACTTACAAGTCTCAGAAAGCTGAAACCTAAAGGATCCACAACCTCTCCCCTCCCAACCTCCTACCCCCAAGGACAAGTTACCAGAGGAGTCACCAGCTTTAATCACGCAGGGAACTCCAGGGATGCAGCTGCCTGATTGTCACCTTGTCACTGATGCCTCTGGATGGGCTTCGTGGTGCTGCAGCTTCCTTTCAGTCAGTCATGTGTGCTCCTTACTCACATTCCTGGAAGCAGCAGCAATAAACTCTCTGGTGCACTGAGCTAGACTTGAGCGGAGTTGATTTCATTTGTGCCACCTGGGGAAAAGTCACACAGTACAATTGGCACATGAACAGAGACTGACAGAGCCGGAGATGAGTAGAGGAGTGACTGTGTGAAGCTCAAAAGGGGTCGAAGCATGTCTAAAACTCAGGTGTTCTCATCCTGAGTGTGGCAGGAATTTGGCGACTCCCTGGTCTTATCCAGCCAGACCCCAGCAAATAGACTTCCCCAAGTGTAGATGTGCCCAGATACACACACAGCAACTGATAAGCTCATGCGTCTCCAAGGCTACAGGGACTGCCCTGTCAGATAAGAAGCCCTTATAAGGACTGGACTTAAAAGAGCTGGACTTCCTATATGACCTTACAAATTCCTTCTCCTGGCTCCTGTTACCCCGAGTATGCAAATGAAGCACCCTTGATGTTTTTGCCCCAGCCAATGACATACACTACATGAATCCAACCAGCCATTCTTCCTAGGGTATAAATGTCCCTTGCTCCCTCCAAATAAATGAGCTGTCCTCTGACACAGTCTCCCGGGTGTTCTTTCTGGTCCTACTGGAAGTCATTTGGAATCTACCTTTGGCCCGGCCCATGCTAAATTTCCCCAGTCTGCCCATGCCAGACACATGAAGCAGGGCTGGAGCCAGGCAGCCCTGTATTGGGAAGGAACAGCTGCATGGCCCTTGCCCTCGGGGGGGGGCG